AGGCGGGCGACGGAAGGCCGATGCCTCCGTTGCCCGGCCCTCTACAGAATCCACCCCCCAAGCCTCCAGGTATTTCCCTCCTTAGAGCTGGCAACCCTACATTCCCCTCAGTGCCTGTTGGTAGGCAACTAAGCTTGGTCCTGTCACCTACTTTGGCCTTTGGGAGAAAACACATTGGGGCCAATCCTGATAGGGTTGCCAACTCCAGATGGGAAATTCCTGGAGACTTGAGGGATGGAGCCTGAAGAGGGTGAGGTTTGAGGAGGGGTGGGGCCTCAGACAGGTACACTGCCATAGACTCCACCCTCCAAACCAGCCATTTTGTCCTGGGTAACAATTGTTGCCAATCTCCAGGTGAGGGCTACAGATCACTCACAATTACAACTGCTCTTCAGGTAGCAGAGATCAGTTCCTCTGGAGAAAACAGTGGACTCTGTCATTATACCCTGCTGAGGTCACCACAGCAAATTGACACTGTTTGCCCAAAGCCAGAGCACTCCCCCAGAGCCTCTTTCTAGATCCCGTTGTATTGCTTTCACAACGGGCTTTACTGCTAGTTTATATATAAACAGTGATGTCATACAGTTGCACATATCATTCCTATGACCAGGTACATTTACAAATCGCATGAAATACATGTAAACCAAATCAAACGTATTTTGGCCACGTGGTGTTCTTCAGTGGTTAAAATCTTAGTAATCATACCATATACTTTTTTTTAAATGCACTATGCCTGACCACGGCAGTAACATTCAGATATAATTCTCCCCCCCCCCCCCCCCCCCCCCTTATCCCTGCTTTGCTCAGAAGACCTGAAGATAGTTGATATTAGTGCCCAACTTTCTCCATAAGCCAGGTCAGGATCAAGCGTCACCCAGTGATGTGTATAGCCTCATGTAGGAAACCAAATAACGAAACAATTGCTCTAATGATTCAGTTAACTTAAAAGCTGCAGAGATAATAGGATGGCTTCTCATTAGCCAGAATTTAGTGCTGTAAAAATTACCTTTTTAGTGTGTGGTTAGTTTTCTCACTTCGAAAGCAGACATTGCTCTCTGAAGTACTTGTGGCTAGGCCAACTGAAATACAAATAATCATTCCATTTCCTTATAGGGGTGAAGCAGGCTTGTTGTGAATTCCTGGAAAGCCAGCTGGATCCATCCAACTGCTTGGGGATCCGAGATTTCGCCGAAACACACAATTGTGTCGATTTAATGCAGGCAGCGGAGGTATTCAGCCAGAAGCATTTCCCAGATGTAGTTCAGCATGAAGAGTTCATCCTGTTAAGCCAAGAAGAAGTGGAGAAGCTCATTAAATGTGACGAGATTCAGGTAAAAGTTAGCTTTATGGCACAAGGAGCTAAGAGATGTTGCTCAGCTTTGACACAGGACAAGCAGAACCCCAGGATTAACAAGTGAAATAGTATCAGTGGCTGATCTGTCCCCCGTTTTGCTTGTCTTTTATCTGCTTTTTAACTGTTTGGCTGTATATTGTTGTTATTTTCTTGTAGTTTTATTGATTTTCAGTTAGGGTTCGATTTATTTCATTCATGTACTGCTTTGACTTTTTAAAAAAAGAATTAGGAATATTAACTAGTGAAAATCTCAGGCTGTTTTTTTTTCATACCTGATGAAGTCTTTTTCACACAGGAACAGGCTTGTTGATAAGAGTGCAGCAGCAGCAGCAGCAGGGGTTCCATGTGACAGGTTTCCCCGTAGCCTCCTTGACCCAATCCCCTGGCAGCAGCTATCCCCCTCTACCACAAGGGTTTTTCCCGTTTTTTTCCCTTAAAACTGGAAGTTGAATATTGTTATATCATTAAATTCCCAGTTTTCATTTTTTTAAAATTGAAGTTTCTATCACCTTTTTGTTGTGAAGACATGCTTTTTTACGTATATATCCACACCCAAAAGGCTGTAGCAGGGGTGGTCAAACTGTGGCTCGGGAGCTGCATGCGGCTCTTTCACACATATTGTGCAGCTCCCGGCAGGGCAGCTGGGGAAGCTAAATATAATTAGCAAACAAATATCATTGGACAAATAAATATCATTATCAATATCTGCTTTTACCACTTTTGTTATTATGTTTGGCAATCTCATTTAATGTTAATAAAAAGTTAATCTGCATATTTCCCAGTAAAAATGTGTAATATTTGTTCATGTCTTGCAGCTCTCAAACATCTGACATTTATGCTGTGTGGCTCTTACGTTAAGGAAGTTTGGCCACCCCTGGGCTATAGACTCACTTTAAAAAAGCCTGAGAATTCAGAAAACCTGATAACAGTGATTATTATAACAATATATTGAGAAACAACAAAATGCTATTCTGTGATGCATCAGTGTGGTGTTAATTATTATTATTATTTATTTCATTTTTATACTGCCCATAGTCATAAGAACATAAGGAACATAAGAGAAGCCAGTGTTGGATCAATGGCCCATCTAGTCCAACACTCTGTCACACAGTGGCCAAAAATACCAGGTGCCATCAGAAGGTCCAGCAGTGGGACCAGGACACTAGAAGCTCTCCCACTGTTGCCCCCCCCCCCACCCCCAGCATCACTTGCCCCAGAGCTCCTATCCATACCTTGTGGCTAATAGCCAGTGATGGATCTCTGCTCTCTGGGCGGTTCACAGCAATTATAAAACAGTAAGATACAAAAAAATATAAGATTAATATAAGATTAATATAAAATAATGTAAGAACATTTAAAAACAGTAAAAACAGTAAAAAAAATTAACAAAGACACCTAACTAATCATATTGAGCCCCTGAATGGCCAAAAATATCTTTAAAAGCCTCTGAAGGGGGCTGTCTTAACTTAATAATGTTGCACTAGGATTTAGGAGGTCCTGGTATGAATCTCTATTCTGCCATGGAAACTTGCTGTGTGACCCTGGGCCAATCACTCTCTCTCAGAGGGAACAAGGATACTCCCAAAAAAGGTCTCATATCCAAAATATACTCAATTCTGACGAACCTCAAATCCAAACAAATGGCTAGCTACCAAGTGGCCTGGCATAAAGAGCTCAAAATAAATCTTCAAGATGAGCAATGGAATCAGATATGGCACACCACTAGCCATATCTCCAAATCAGTAAAAATTCAAGCCGCTGCAAACAAAGTATTATTTAGATGGTACTTGACTCCGGTACGACTGGCCCATATGACTTCTAACATAAGTCCTCTCTGCTGGAAGCAATGTGGAGTTAAGGGCTCATTCCTCCATACATGGTGGGAATGTGTTCACATTCAAAACTTCTGGAAACAAATACTACAATCAATAAAACACATCACAGGAATCGTTACACCCTTTAACCCGTTACCGATACTGCTACATTTCTGGGAATCCGAACAAATACCTAAAATACGTAGAGAATTAGTTATTGTTCTCTTAACGGCTGCCAAAGCAGTCATCGCTCAGCAATGGAAAAGTAAGCAACCCCCATCAATAGCCCAGTGGTATGAGAAAATATGGGATTGTTTTACTCTAGAAAAATTTACAGTATTTACTCTTAGATCAACACTTGAGAGCACATTATTAGATCCATTAGACAAATGGCTTCCTTTCCTCGAAAAAATGGACGCAGAAAAGATAATCTGTGAGAAATGGGCACTGTTCAAAGTAGACTCAATATTGTGTTAATATCAAAACTAAAGTGTACTAAAACGGTTATTATGCACCATTAGATGTCGTTAAGCTAAGGTGTCATCCACTAATGTTTTTATTAACGTTTTTCCTTCATATTTCTGTATATTTACTTTAAAACTTAATAAAATGTTATTTTTTAAAAAAATCTCTCTCTCTCAGTATAACCTGCCTCACAGAATTGTTGGGATAAAATTGAGAAGAAAAAACACTGTACACTCATAGGAGAAAGAGCAGGGTATAAATATCTGAATAAATAGGGTAATGAGAAGATAAAAATTTAATGGCATATAATAGGAAAACAAGTCTTCAGTAGTGTTGCCGGAATCTAGGAAAGACTTTTTTAAACTTCATAACTTATGAAGCCTCCTTCTGATTCTTGTACCAAACCTACATTACCTGAATGTCTGCAACCCAAGTGCATCTTGCTCAGCTTTGTTAATTAAGCTTATGCAGCAGCCCATTTAAAATGATACACTGGGAATGTACAAAATCACATAATGACTTTTTTGTTTGCTTTGTCAGCATTACCTTTAAATCAAGCCTGACTCTTCAAATATGAACACTATTTATTCCGAAATACTGCAAGATCCTTTCCAGTGCCGTTCCACCGCCATCTAGTGTCTTCAGCTATGCACCTATCAGAGACTTCAATGTCTAAGTGTTTTTAAGATTTAAAATGAGCTAAGGCTTTGTTGGTTCACTTTTGCAAAATGTGATCAAATAATGTTTCCCCCCCCCCCATGTTATATAGTAAATGAACAGGATAACTCACTCAGAAACCTTGATGGCTGCAATTATGGATTCCAATCCTCCTGCTCCCCCCTTTAAAAATAACCTTCAGCTAAGGTCCATGGGGCTCTCCTGAACAGAGTATTGTGCAGATCAGAGGCTGTAAGAAGAAGGGGGAATCGAGTGAAAGCACTCCTCCCTGCCCTTTTATCAAACAAAGAGCAGGCAAAACTCAGAGGCTTGTTCTGTTCATGCAAGAAAGGAGAGGGTGATTTTGTTCTGTTTTCCCTTTCTTATTGCAGCCAACAGTGTGGCATGGTGTTTTGATAGGTGGGTCTGTCCCTTGACCCTCTGCAGAATATCAGGGAAGGAGCACAGCATGCACCAAGGTCAAGGTGGGGAAGAAACTGTGCCCATGAACTCTGTTTTTTCACAAAAGTAAGGATCCATCCCAAAAGAGAATTAGAGTGGAATAGTCAACAGTCTTCAGTCAAAACATGCAGAGGTACCTAGGGACATATAGAACATAATTATAAAGACCTCATCAGAATTACCATGCATTTTCTCAGTGATCCCTCCTTCTTAACTAATGTTTTTTGTTTTGTATGCATTATAACTATTTTGTATGTATTTTAATTGTTTTTAACTCTTTTTCTAAATGGTTTTAATTATGTTTGTTTGGGAGGATGTTGGTTTTAATGGTTTTTTAATATAATTTTATCATGTATATTTAAATTGTGACCTGCCTTGGAGGGGCAGAAAGGTGGTTTATCAATTCTGTAAATAAAGAAAGAAATATTCAAGGGTGATGTATAAGATCTAAACAAATGGTAATCCTTTCAGTTTTAATGGTTTGGCAGAACTGCAGCAATTAATGTGTTCCTTCCTACGATTTATTTGTTTCTTCTTTCAGCTTACCCTGATAACAATTTCTGGATCAACAGTTCCACCACTGTGTGTGCGTGTGTGTGTGTGTGTAAAGGGCTGTCAAGTCACTTCTGATTTATGGCTGTCCTATGAATTAATGTCCACTAAAACATCCTGTCATTAACAGCCTTGCTCAGGTCTTGCAAATGAAGGGCTGTGGCTTCCTCAGCAGTGGCCATCCATCTCATGTTGGGTCTTCCTCTTTTCCTGCTGCCTTCAACTTTCCCTAGCATTATTGTCTTCTCCAGTGACTCTTGTCTTCTCATAAAGCAACCAAAGTTTGATAGCCTCAGTTTAGCCCTTTTAGCTTCTAGGGAGAGTTCAGGCCCACTTTTTTATCTTTCTGGTGGTCCGTGGTATCTGTAAAACTCTCCTCCAACACCACATTTTAGATGAATCGACTTTTTTCCTGTCATCTTTCTTCATTGTCCAATTTTGTCCAATTTTCATAACCATGCATAGTAATGGGGAATACTGTGGCATGAATTAACTTGATCTTGGTTGCCAGCAACACATCCTTGCACTTAGTGATCTTTTCTAGATCCTTCATGGCTGCCCTTCCTCAGTCTCAGTTTTCTTCTGATTTCTCCCTTTTAGTTGATGATGGAGCCAAGGAATAGAAAATTTTGAACAATTTCAATTTTTGCATTGTCAACCTTAAAGTTGTAGTTCAGTCTGCTTTAAATAGCAATGCCACCAAAGTTCATAATTACCTTACTCAGAATATGAATGTGTTCGGCTCACAGTTCTTGTGATAATCAGTTAAGTGTCATTTCTCTTAAGAATTCCTCTGTGATTCAAGCTGTGAAACAAGTCTTTGAACTGATTAGACTGCTTTATAGGCACATGTGCATAAATTCTTTAGTGTTAGAGCCTTAATCTCCATGAAACTTTCTGTTGGAAACACACCCACCCCATTGATCTAGGTGGAAGAGCTAGGTATGAGAGCTAAAAACCTATTAACATATTCAGAGTTTCTTTCTTTTATGTTAGACTCTTCTACCAGTGAAGCATGTTTTTTATTACTTTTAAAAACTTTTATTCCACACTGGAACAGTAGTACAGAGAGTCCCCCCCGCCAAAGAAACAATATGGACATCATTATTACAGAGGCTAACAAAGGAGGAAAAGTTGTCATCATGCACAAAGCAGACTACATTCAGGAAGCCAAAAGATACCTCTCCAATACTACTGTCTTACAAACGACTATCCTCAGACCCCACTCAGGAATACCAAAAAGAACTAAACAGGATTATGAAAGAATTACCAATGCTCATACAGGAACAGAACTATATGGACAGAACTTGACCAGGCATTGTCTATCTTTTGCCCAAAATACACAAGCCTAGCAACCCAGGATGCCCTGTTGTTGCAGGCCTAGGCACTATTACCGTCGGGGTGACGGGTTACATGGACTCCATTCTCAGACCCCATGCCATCACTGCCCCAAGTTATGTGTGAGACACCACAGACTTCCATAGAAAATCCAATCTGTTAAGAAATCTTCCAGGAAACACGATTTTGGTTACCATGGTTGAGTCTCTGTATACCAACATCTGCAACAAGCTATTAGGAACACCCATCTCCGACAACACCATGACCACCTCACTACCAAGCTCTGCCAGTTTGTTCTTAGCCACAACTGCTTCAGATTTGGTGAGGATTTATTCCTTCAGATCAATGGCACAGCCATGGGCACCCTCATGGCACCACAATACGCTAACATGTTCATGGCTAACCTGGGTCAGCACTTCTTCAGCTCACATCCATTAACACCCCTCTTGTACCTGAGATTTATTGATGACATTTTCATAATTTGGGCACATGGGAAAGAAGCACAGGAGAAAATTCTCACAAGAAATCTAGACTCCACTGTACAAGTACATAATGGAAGCATAAAAACTACCTTGTACTGAAAATTTACGCATCAGCAAACATCTGCATACCTCCAGTCACCATTGCAAACACACCACATGATCCATCACCTACAGCCAGCCAAGCTCTATGCTACAGCCACATCTGTCATGATCCCTCAGACAGATTCTCACTTGCAGAATCTACAACAGAAATTTTTGGAATTACAATACTCACCTGATATAGTAAGGAAACAAAGCCAGAATGATACCAAGGGACAATCTCCTACAAGATAGGCCCAAACGAAACAGAACACCACTGGTGGGTCATGTAGACCTAAGAGTGGCAGTCCTCAAACAGAGAAGCTTCAAAGGGAGATTACAACATGAGATTGCTGCACTTGAGTTCATTCACAATTTCAGAACAATGGACCCTCCCCCAGGCTGAACAAGGACATAGGATTCTTATTTCAGTACAGGTTAATTTTCAGGTCCCAAGCATTTCCCCTCTGCTGTAATCAAGCTGACTGAAATATGCATTGTACTTTTGCATCTTGAGTTCCTCCCCCTCCCACCTTCTGACTGGGATATAAAGACTCAGAAATATCCATTTGAACTCTTATCTGATGAAGAGAGCTGTGGGTCTTGAAGAAAATGTGTTATCTCTGGCAAAGGTTATTTTAAAATTTCTATTTGTGCCAGTTCTTTAGCCTTTACATGGACTTTTAGCCTTCATGCACTCTAATGTTGCTACTATATTATTAGCCTTTTGTAATCAGCAGAATAAAAATCAAGACAAATTTAACATTAAAAAAAAACATTCTCAGCATCATCCTACTTCTGTGTATTTTTTCTGTGAGAGCACTCAAGAGCAGAGTTCCATTTTTTTAATTAAAAAGCCATTCCCCCCTGGAAGAAATATTATTTGTTTTCTTTTGTGCAGCCACACAGTGGCAGTTCAGTGAAGAGTGATAAATAAATAACAGTTTATGATGTGAGAGTTGAGACAAATGTGTCTTCTCCCACAAAAGACAAAACTTACAGGCAATTGTGTTGGTCCAATAAAAGAAAGCAGCAGAAGCACAATAACTTTATTAGGAGGACTAACTGAAACATTGTGAAGTAGCAAGAAACCTTGAGTTCCCCAGGCTCGTCATCAGATTGGATGTTAAGCAAAACTGAAAAATTGCACTAACGTTGCAATCCTGTGAAGAGTTACTCCAGTCTCATCTTGTTGGTTTGAATAGGCTTTGATTGGAATAACTTGGCATTGGATTACATGGGGGAATACTGTCTGCAAAGTCCAGTCTGTGTAATAGTTTTACAGCATCACTTTGCGAAGGATTGCATAGCGTTATGCAAATTTACTTTGTTAGACTGTATGAAGTGCAAAAAGGTCCTGGTGGTGCAGTCCACGACATAGGTGCCACCTGTATTCAGCCTGTGCAGCAGTCTTTCCTCCTGTGTCAAGGCCATCTGATCTGCACAAGATTAATCAATACTGTGCCTTTTCTTTAGGTGGATTCTGAAGAGCCTGTCTTTGAGGCAGTCATTAACTGGGTGAAGCATTCAAAGAAGGAAAGGGAAGCATCCTTGCCTGAGCTTCTGCAGTACGTCCGCATGCCGCTTCTCACCCCGCGCTACATAACCGATGTCATAGACACGGAGGTAGGGACAATAGTCTTATTTAAGCACTCTGTGGACTCACTAATGTTGCTGCTGAATTATAAAAGAACTGACTTGCAATAGTAGTGCCCTGGGTTAAATCCTCACAGCTTTCCACTGGTGCAAAAGGGAGGAGGGGTGATTTCACCTGCTTCCCCTCTCCACTGCAGCCACATGGCTTTTTGTCCAACTGGGTCCCCCGATATCTTCATAGCCTTTTCAGGTGTTCAGAAGGGCTGCTGGGGAAAGAGAAAGATGGGGAAATATCTGGTTCTGTTAGTGGAAAGCTGGTAGGATCCAGCATTGTGTCTTTACAGATGATCTTTTGTTACATTTTTCCTGCTTCTCAGGAAATGCTTATTGGGGAGGAGAGAACTTAAAAGTGGCTATCGATTCATTGGTTTTAATGTCTAGGATAATGCAGCTGACTGATTTGATGTAATTTTTCTGAATGCATGAATGTTTTGATGGTGGTTATGATCATAGGGAAATTTGCACATGCATAAAAATGAATGTCTTAATATGTTATAAAACAAATTACATTGGATGTAGCCATGACTCTTGTGAATAAAAGAAATTGCAAAGATGTTCCAGGTCAGTCGTTTGGGAGAAAATAAAAGCAGGTCTATGCGTTATGCAGAAAGTGGTGGTACACTGACATAGCAGAATTCAAGTCTGTACCCCATCAGTCCTCATAATGTTATTGCTCTTTTCTGTGAGTGATCTCTTTATGTGTAACCTCTGTAAAGGCACCTCCCTGTAGTGCTCTAAGCTGATGTGTGTTCTGCTGCCTCCTTGACTTCCTTATTGTCACTGACACCAAAGGCTCTCGCCTTAGAATTCTTAGGTAGACCAAAAGAACAGGATGGCTTATGGCTTTATGTTAGATTGACAGAACAGTCAGTGCATGGGGGTAGCTCTGATGTAAAAGGGGATCCTTTACTATAAAATAAAGTTATTTTTCTTAAACATGAATAGAGTTTATTTATAAGCCAAACAGCACAATGGTTTCTGTATGGTTAATAAGTGTAATGTTTCAGATAGGTAACTTAAGCATAATGGTTCCTTAGATAGACCTAACCATACAGGCTTATTTAATTAATTAGCCCATTGGCCAGTAAATTCCACAAAGCTTAACAACTTGCCACCAAGGGTAATAGCTTCCACACAGAACACAAATTTATCTCACACACTCTACAGCACCTCAGTTTGTTTCTCCACACACACACTGCTCAGCACTAACTCTCACACAAAGCCTCTCTCTGAACAAAGCCGTCAACTCTGCCCCTCTAGGGTACAGCTACCATCCAGTCTGCTATGGGTGAGTGAAATGTGTTATATTTCACTCACCCATCCAGTCCCCCTTTTCTTACCCTACAGGCCTACATTTTAGATCACAGCAACATATATTTAAAACTTCACATTAAAACATAGAAATAAAATACAAAAACAGTATTTACATGGCAGAACACCACAGTCCTCCTCTGAATGACTCAGGGTCAGTAGAGATAAGACAATGGAAGGTCTAAAACACATGGTTTCTTGGTAAATAGCAGCCACAGTGAGAGTTGATTCTGATTAGGGCTGTAGCCTGGGGTAGGAGGTAACTCTTTCATCCTGCAGCATTTTCTTGACTTAAATCTCCATCCCCGATCCACTGTTTATCTTGCTGGGGTAAACATACATTTTGCTTGAACGCTTCTTGCATATTTCCATGAGTAGGTCAAATACTAGCTATTGGGGTGGAGGGGGTGCTTTTTAGTTAGTAAAATGGCATGGAGGACCACCTCTGCCTACCCATTATCTGCACTGCAACTCTGATCCAATGTGGGGCTTCCCACAGCAACTTTTGACCAGGAGAAAATGTGTCGGAGATCCAGTCATGGCACTTGCAGTGTCTCATCCAGGTAGATTTTTCACATACTGTTTACTTACATTTTTTCAAAACAATCCTATAATTTAATGTATGATATCTATATGTCTTCCCTAGCCTTTTATTCGATGCAGCTTGCAGTGCAGAGACCTTGTTGATGAGGCTAAGAAGTTTCATCTAAGGCCTGAGCTTCGCAGCCAAATGCAGGGACCCAGAACCAGAGCACGTTTGGGTAAGCATCAGAGGAATAGGTATCACATTAGTTGGAGAATTGTGCAGTGTTGGGAGAGATTCAAAATGTTGAAGGTTGTCTGGCACGCCTGGAATGATTATTTTAGCCACTAATATTACATGGCAGTAGCCTTAGATGATTAAAAGAGTACTTATCTTCCTGAAGATATCTTTCTTTTGATCATTCAGAATTATGCATATGATGTGGATTAACATTGCTGGGACAAGTTGTTTATCCTGCGTTATGTCTTTGGTTAAAAAACTGAACGAAAGGACTGGCATTGTTCTAACTGGCATATTTTTTGCTGTCTAAGTTCAGGACTCTTGAACCAAGTCTCTTAGAGTTCAATAAAGACAGTCCAGGCATAAAGAGTATAATTTAAACAATAGCTTTATAGAGATAGGCTGTTTTATGTAGCTTTTCCTAAAGGAATAGTGAATATAAGCGCCTGAGATCAGCTTTTCATAAGTAAGCATATCTTAGCTCCATGTTGACTTGCAAAAGCTTAAGCCCATGCCTGATTATCATACATATTCTTATTTGTAGATGCTGAAAATTCTCAGTGCTAATTTCAGTTTACAAATAGATTGCTAGTGGAAAGTGCTGTGAAGTTGCAGCCAGTTTACAGCGATCCCACAGGGTTTTCAAGGCAAGAGATGTTCGGAGGTGGCTTGCCAGTGCCTGCGTCTGCATCACAACCCTGGACTTCCTTGGTGACAAATAGCTGAGCACGTTCAGAGAGATTCAAAATGCTTTTAAAAAGGCAACATTCCAAGGGTGCTTTGGAATGTAACAACCAAATTATTGCCCAGGCTGCAATTCAGAGATGTCATTAGGTTCTAATTCAAAAAATTTTGGTAATTAGAACATTTAACTGGGAGCAGTAAAATGAGCTCACAAAGGGCAAGTATATAACATACCAGCTAGAAAATAAAGCCCATATACACAGATGTAGGCAGCAGCATTGTCAAGAAAGAGCTAAAGGCTATATTGAGGCACAAGCTAACTATGAGTCACAAGCTAGCTATGAGTCATCAGAAAAGAAAAAGAAAGCAACAAAGACCAACCAACATGGGTATTAATAACACCCTTCTGTTTGGCATAAAGCCACAGTTGGATTTTGTGTTCAGGGTTTAAAGTAAAGGTAAAGGTTCCCTTGCTCGAAAGCCAGTCGAATCCGACTCTAGGGTTGCGGTGCTCATCTCCGTTTCAAAGCCGAAGAGCCAGCACTGTCTGAAGATGTTTCCGTGGTCATGTGGCCGGCATGACTAAACACCAAGGCGCACGGAACGCTGTTACCTTCCCACCGAAGTGGTACCTATTTATCTACTTGCAATTTCTTGCTTTCGAACTGCTAGGTTGGCAGTTTACGGCCATATAATTTTAGCCTTGAGAAGAAACCAGTAGAAATATAGCCTGTTTTAACAGCAGCCTTTTAAACCTTTGAAAATAGTTAACTATTGGCCTTGACCATGGGGTAAAAAACAACAGTGGTTATAATCCAGCACTCACACTGCTGCAATCCTAAACAGAGTTGTGCTCTGCTGAGCCCGTTGACTTCAGTGGACTAAGAAGGGTGTAACTGCTTAGCCTGGCATTGTCAGTCTGTTGGTTATGTGTTGCGCTCCTCCTTTGAAACAAAGCAGATGCAACATTTTTTTTGGTAACCTCCTAAAAAAATAATATTAGTAGTGTGATCCATTTTTGTACAGGTGCCAATGAAGTTCTTTTAGTAATCGGCGGCTTTGGAAGTCAGCAATCACCTATTGATGTGGTAGAGAAATATGACCCAAAGACACAAGAGTGGAGTTTTCTACCAGTAAGTATTTTGTCACCCTTCTCACATTTTTGACAATAAGAAATGCTAGGCACCTAGTTTAATAACTTGTGTAACCAAAATGAACAAGCTAATTAGATTGTTGTGTACAAGTGCATGTAAACTGTGCCCCAGCACCTACTTTTAAAAGCACAGTCATCTTTAGGAGGAGGGAGTTTAGAACAGAGAAGTTGCAGTGCTGATTTGCCCTTTCTCCTCCCTCTGTTTATGCTTTCAGATTCCTCACCCTGTCCCAGCATCTTTTCCCCTGTAGATTCTAACCCCACTGTTCCCCCTAAAACAACATCTTCCCAGATAACAGTTGCAGAGAATATGTGTGTGGACTGAACACATTAAAAGCAGTACATCCATACAGGCAGTATCAATGTAGGAAAGTCTCCTTGTATAAAAGTATGTTCAGATGAAGAATAAGGAATATTACATTTGGAATTTAAATTTGGCTTTACTCTAAGAACAAGCCAAAAGTTAAATTGAAGTTTTCTAAGTCTGAAGCAGTAGAACAAAATTTGAGTCCAGTGGCACCTTTAAGATCAACAAAGTTTAATTCTGGGTATAAGGTTTTGTGTGCGTGCACACTTCATCAGATACATTGAAACAGTTTTCCTTATGCCTTACATATAGGTAGAGAGAGGGGGGTTAGTTGCCAGGAAGGGCTAGTTAGAGTCAAGATGCATAAGTAACTGTGCGATAAGTATAGCTGAGATTGAATTAAAGCAGTTGGTAAGACCTGTGAATGGCAGCAAATGGACATAAGAATACAAGGGTTTACGAACAGATGTGAGAACTTCGTTTGAATCCAATGGCACCTCCAAGACCAACAAAGTTCAAATCTGGGTATAAGCGAGAACTGAGAGACTTAGCATGTGTAGATGCACACTTCTTCAGATACATTGAAACATATTTTGTCAAGCATTACATATAGGTGGGGGGGTTAGTTGACAGGAAGGGCTAATTAGAGTCAACATGCATAAGTACAGCTAAGATTGGAATAACACAATTGGTAAAATCTGTGAATAGCAGCAAATTAGCATACAAACAATAAAAGAGTTAACAAACAGATGTGAGAACTAAGTTTCCAGTGGCACCTCCAAGACCAACAAAGTTTAATTCTGGGTATAAGTGAAAACTGAATTACTTAGTATGTGTAGTGAGATTAGAACCCAATATCTCCGTTAAGCCCTGGGGGTTCCATTGTCCTGAGGGTTGTAATAACTTGTAATTCAGCAGTCTCCCATTCCAATCTGTTTCTGAAGTTCCTTTGCAATAAAACAGCTACTTTGAGGTCCCCCACTGAGTGCCCTGGGAGGTTGAAGTGTTCTCCTACAGGTTTCTCAGTCTTGTGATTCTTGATGCCAGATTTGTGCCCATTTATCCTTTGGTGCAGGGTTTTACCTGTTTGCCCTATGTAGAGAACTGAAGGGCATTGGTGGCATTTAATGGCATATACAATGTTAGAAGATGAGCAAGTGAATAAGCCCGAGATAGTGTAGTTGATGTTGTTAGGTTCAGTGATTGTGTTATCTGGGTGTATGTGGCAGCAACGTTGGCCTCTGGGTCTCAAACAACTCCTCACCTACAGCAATACAACATCCAATTTGAACATGGACATTGGTACTAGAGCTTGCAGTAAACCCAGATGCCAAGTTTGTTTCTTGTTTCCATTTTCTCTCTTTTCTAACACACATAGAGCATCAGTCGTAAAAGACGCTACGTTGCCACAGTATCCTTGCATGATCGAATATATGTGATAGGTGGTTACGATGGCCGTTCTCGACTCAGCTCTGTGGAGTGCTTGGATTATACGTCGGATGAAGACAGCATCTGGTACTCTGTGGCTCCAATGAACGTTAGACGGGGTCTAGCTGGAGCCACCACTCTGGGAGGTATGGGCTAAGTAACACATGGATATACTAAGCTGTCTGAATTGTGGCCAGTGTGACTTCTAGAATGCCAGAATCTTTTAGGAATCAGATCAGTGATGGGAGGGAGAATGGAGCTTTTCAAAGAGTTAGTAATGGTTGATGAGCAGCACACGTAGGTACAAATACAAGGGGGAGAAAGCCTTTCATCTAAAGACAGAAAATTAAACCTGGGATGGTAATTAATTTTTAGTTTCACTCTTGCACAGTATATAATTTTAGAGACCACGCATCTTTCCTAGTGACAATGGTGAACTTGTGAAGATCAAAACTGATACTACTGCCTAAAGCTCCTCTGTCTTCAGAATGCTGAATGTGACCCAAATATCTACATTATGTTTGTTATCTGGATCATAATTGACAGCAATTCAGTAAGATAGACCCTAATTAGAAACTCATGATGAAAGTTAGCACTACTGTGTTTGCCGTTTGAGATAAGTTGTTTTTAGGAGGCCATCCATTTATGTAGTAAAAATGTAGGAAGCCCAGTCATAGCTATTAGATGCTGAGCTGGCCCTGGCTGGGAGGGGGGGGGGATAGAAATTTAATAAATAACAATAATAACAACAACAACAACAATAATAATAATACCAATGTTACTTAGGTCCAAGTATTAGTTAACTTTCATTCACTTCAGATGTAAGAAGTAGACTGCTCATTTTATAAAACAGTTAATTTTTGTCAGACATCGTCCTGAATTTTAGTCAGGTGGTTTTATGTAGGTAAATTCAGACTATTTCCAAGACATTAAATTAACCCAAGTTATCTGGCCAATATACGTTTCATTGTAGATACTGTGATACATTTCAATCGGTTCATTAAAAGGAAAACACTTAATTGAATGAGTTGACAGTTCAATTATGAAGTCATCAGATTCTTGTGCCATCTCTCATAAGAACATAAGA